CACCACTTAAGGCCAGGTTGAAGCCTCAACAAGTGTTCAAACAGTGTTTTAATGCATTTCATTTAAATGGGTTTAAGCGTTACCATAGCAGCTTAAGTTAATGCCAAACCTTATCTACCAAATCAAAAGCGTTTTTAAATTCAGGGGTCACTGGGGATGTTAACGATTGCAAATGGTGTGTACGTGCTAATATTTCGTAAAATAGCTATTCAAACACTTAGTTCTTAGGCGACATCACAAGAGACTGGCTACTAACTTAGCAGATTTATTCATGTAAGTAAGAAATATACAAAATTCATTTGTCGTAACTCCTTGGCGTGTTTGCCTATCATACAAAACACAAATACTCATCTCAAAGCTTGCATAGACTTATCGGTTTGTCCAATCAAATACTCCATTCATCCATTGGTCAACTTCGATCAATTGTCTGATCGTAAGATAAATTGGTTTATTTATTTACCAAAAGACGGTCGGAGTATGGATTATGGCTACACTACAAGACGATAGAAAGACAGAAGTGTTTTAGGTGGTTTCAACAGTTTGCAGTTCCGAATTTCGCTCATTGGACTGCTCGTCATCTTGGTTTCTTATTGAAATCCATCATTTAACACAGTGTATCATATATCCCAACTAAGCGCTTATGTCGCCCGCATTTCTCAATTCAGTTGTTGTACTAATTCAGGAGAATTGAAAATTAAGTAAATCCATTTTATTTATTAAACCCTCATCTTGAATTGATGCTACAATGTATTCTCATTTACCTATTTTTGACTAAAACTTCTAACACTATTTGTCTAATAAGTTACCTATATTTTGAAACTATTTGACAAGCTCATTTCACTTCCCTGCAATTTGTCATTAAACCGAAAATGGCAAACTCTGAGAAATGGCTTCAAATTTTCTTACTTATTCCAGGGTGATCATTCAAGGAATCATTCAATAGTTATGTCTCCGAAAAGATGGTCAGTACAAGCAATGGATTGACGTCAAGTCATTGAAGAGTTAATGCCCTCAATCCTTTACTATTTAAAGTGCAGATAAATCCAAATGGCACTACGCTCTTTAACACGTCACACCTCCAGTTTAAAAGGCATATCGTTGGCAAGGTTTATAAATTTCAAAGTTGCCTCACACTTACCGGAGTAGGTAATCAGGAGTATCTTATTGCTTCGCGCTAAGTTTACAGCACTCGTTAGACATCTCGTCTACAATTTGCTTCTTTTTCTCCATGACTTTCTTTTCCAGGATATCAACTAAGCCGAGAGTGGATATCTGCGGCAAAAGTCATGTCCACAATGGAGAAACCTGCATATATGCTGTTATGAAGTAAATATGCATCATACATCCACACAACAGACAACATCTTGCTGCATTGCATGCGATGGATTTTTGGTCGAAAAAGTGACAACTTTGCTTTAAACAGTCTCCACGAGACTGGATAAAAGGATTTCTAACCATCTCTGTCTGTCGCTTGATATTACAAGTATTGGGAAGGTCAAAGTCGAATATTAAACAGCCAATAAAATCATAATCTCTGAAATTAGCAATAAAATCGGTACATGATGGGTTTGTTCTGCACTACCCCCATACATGTTGAGACATTGGTATATGCTTTTAACATATGGATGAAGTTCTTACCTACAATGATGCCGAGTGCAGGGTCAGAATACTTTAGATATGAACCTGTGTTAGTGGACTCTTGAGCTTTGCCTGCGCATAAAAACGGGTTTTCTATTCCCTTTAAGAAACTGTTCTTCAAGAGGTTCCATTTAAGCACGTTCTTAGCTTTTACTGTGGTCAGCAAAATGTTCATCCAAGGAAACGAGTCAAATTAATTCGGTTCAGTTTGCCTAATTTATGCTATACGAAGCACATTTTACAAGAGTTGGATAAACACATCAGTTTATCCAATCACACCCATGGCAATCCTTATGTTAGAATTGCGCCAATCATATGCTAGTGTGTGTAGTAATCTGTCAACCAGCCATCCACCAAGCAGAATGCATCTGCAACCACACCAATCAAATAAATCTATGTACCCTATAGTCCAACCACTTCGATCATTCCTCTTTTTCCTGGTATCCCTCCTGCTAGGTTAATGTCCTCTAGAGAATTTCCGGATTTGTATCGATCTCTCTTGATTTTATTGCTACACAATGAGTGACACGTTGGACGAAGTTACTAACCCAGAACAGTCTCCTCCTCCGCCTCAAAATGCTGATGCTACAACGGAATTAGACAGTTGTGATGATACAGTTGAGTCTCCAGTTCTTGAAAAGGAGTACCATAGCGAATGTTTCTCATTCCTTTTCCACGTATACAATGACATGCACTAATTATCTGATTGACTGCATTCTTCTTAAATGAACGTTTTCTTAATGAGCATATCTTTATGGGAAATCATTTTTTGGATGTCATCCGGTATAGCTTGGAGTAAGAGTTTTCAATGTGTAAGGATTGCAGATTTTGTTCACACTGTGGTCGTATAGTGTTGTTGCTTGGAAGGAAGTTATGTCACAGTTAACTCGGAGATATTCATTTGCTAACTGCTATGCCAAGTGACTGTGCCGTGAGGACTGATAGATGGAAAATTCAAGTAGGTCTGTGTTTTTCTCGAAAAGTCGGCTCATGGTGATAGTGGTACCAAGAAAAAGAGGCGATGGGTTACTTTTGGCTTTTGTGTGCCACAAGTTAGCCAACACAACAGAAGTTCGAGGCAGCACTTGAGAAATCAAACGTGGAGAATCCATCCTTCAAAGTAATGTCTTTGCTTACAATGACATTATCCTTCGCCTTTTTCATCCTGCCAATGATTTAAAATCTTTCCTATTCGGGCACCTTAGACTTGTCAGAGAATGAGCTGCATAGCTTTATGGGAACGTTGGAGAAGTACTTTTCTGCCGATTATGACAATAAAGAGCTGTCGTATAATGGGTAGCCGGAAGGGTGTCACAACACTTACAGTCTGGCTTGCATAATCAATGGTGAACAAAGCCTTCGATGACGCAAATATGTCTGGTATTTTCACACCTCATTAATTTTCATCACTGTGATGCTTTACTAACTACCCAAGGGTATCTAGACACGGTGCCTCTGCTCTTAAATGGCAAAATACTTTTGATTGCATTTGTTGCATTGCCTGTCATGCCTAGAAGGTGCTCTGCGAATGATTAAATAGCGAGTACAATGCTATGGATTTGGATTTTGGTTTGTCCTGAAGTTCCTTCGAACCACTAAACTGACCAGACTGGAACATTTTTGCTGGCTGCATTATAAAAGAAACACGGAATTTAGTGAATTTACTTGTTAAGAGGTCACTTTTACCCTCGGTGTGGATAACGCCTTTTTCCTAATCGTCTGGCTGTGCCGCAGAAACCAGATCCTGATCTGACCATCTGACATTCATTTCATATCGGTCATTGACCGACGGTAAGCTATCAGTAAATCAATTCCTCACAAAGACAAAATTCTCAATGGTCATAGCAGTCAATAGATTGAACAGCAACCTACGGTAATCATATATTTATACAGTCTTTAGTGCATCTGCAGTGCATGTTTTGATTCCTTTTTACTCAGTAAATAAATCATCTCACTCCTCAGTAAGATAAGTGGATAGAAATGTCCAATGGGAGAATAACGGACCTGATTGGGCAAACCGACGGTTCATTCATGCCCAGTGTTACAGGCAGACAGGTTATCATCCCACGTAGTGATTCCCATTTGGGTGTTAGGGCAAATGATTTCCCGGCCTGCTATGGTACTATTATCTAATGAATGTAAGTTGATGTAACTTTTCTGTGTTACGGATTTGCACCCAGATTAAGATCAAGATAAAATTGTGCAAGCAATCTTATCTTTGGTGATCTTTAGTGATAAGGCCTAAATGTCCACTATTACTAGAAGGAATCAAACCTGGCGAAATTCAGACGATTGTGTGGGCATATAGGCCTAAATATCGGAGGAGGCGTCTGAGAAGAAGCAGACATCCTGATAGTAGTTTAACTTTAATAAATTGACGTAGAATTTTTGCACTAGTACTCTCGTTCATTTTGCATGAACACGCTCTTGGAAGCCTGTTCATATTGTGAATTATCCGTGTCTCATTAACCCTAAAAAAGGGATGGAAAGGCATGCAAAATGGTACCGACACTAAACGTAAATATTCTATTTGTAAGGAAGGAAAGGCTCTGACTGTTTTGCAAAACGGTGTTCTGCTACATTTACGCGCTCATTTTAGCATTTATCCTGGGTCTGGATAACCTTAAGCATGCAAAGTCTTGGCATTAACTGTCTCCTATTCAACCTGGGATGGCTAATATAACCTCGCCATTACCAATAAGACGATAACTTCAAGCCGGCGTCCGGATGCAAACAAAATTTTCTTAAAGCGAGTTGCAAATGACAGAAAATATACAGCAACTTCCCCCACTTAATGTATTTTAACATACGATTTGCTTGCTATACTGCACGAGTTTATGCACTTTTCTGCAGTCATAACGTCTTTCCATCAGAGGTCAACCTCTCTAATGCATTCACTTTCAATGCCATTTTTTACGAAATAGCGTGTACATATCTCTGATTGATAAAAATTTTAGATCTTATACCCTTTTGTGCCAGAAATATTCCTGTGATGCGCCTTTGCTTGATTATGTCTTTAGGCGAGAAGCGCTAACTGAACAGGAATTTCCTGACGGAAGTGATGTCATCTACCTCTAAGGAAGTAGTGAATTTTGAGACTGTAAAGTGGTGATCACTAAACCCTGCTCATAATAATTCCAAAACAGATGCTCTAATTTAATCAGCTTGCAAGTTTTATCGGAATGGAGGGATGGACGTTGATACCATTCCATCTCGCCTACTCATTAATTGTAGGCAAGGCACTTGAGAGGTGCGAATATAATTTTGATTGGCAGTGTAACTGAATTGAAATCAAAATCACCTTGACCTGTTCTCTGCACCGCGTTGACGGCAACTTGACCTACACATAAGACGCACGCTATAGTGCCCACGATATGCATGGGGAGAAGAAGTGATGGAACATATCGTAAGAAGGATTGGTCGCCACTCCTGAAGGAAGTTATTTGTGGTACATTTTTACTTTATATCGATTTTTCGCAATGGACATTTTTATGATCCAACGCTAGTTGAGCCATTTGTTCCTCCTGCAA